ATGATTGTGAAAGAACAAAAGAAGTGAGAAGAAGAACACGCAGGGAAACCAAACGAGAGAGAGAGAGAGACTGCAAAGCTGTGAAAGTATGTATTCTAATAATTGAACGTAAGAATGATTTATTAATTTGTATGCGTGTTAGATCGCAGAGAGTCTGTGTGTAAGTATAAAATAAAACTTCACTATTGAATGAGCGATTATACACACATCGTCTCGTCGAGAAAGTTCAATTATGCGTAACTCGTTGTAAAGCTTCTAGCTTTTTTGTCCTCCTGTAGCTTTGTCAACGAAGCCCGCGATCTGTTTCCGATTCCTTGCTGAACGATCACACCATCACTCGTTTGAAGCAATCGAAGCATCATCGAATGACTGTTTTTTTGGGGTAACTTGAAGTTAATAAGCGAAATAAATGATCGTCAGAGTGCTGGTTGCTACTTTGATGGAGCGAAGTGATGCATGAGTGATAGTAAAACTTAACAAGAAAGAGAGGGCGAGAGAAAGTAGTATGAAAAAAAAGAATGAATGCGTATGAAGACTGTCACGAATGATTCTCTGAAGAAAAAAAAAAGATTCGAAAGATTCGAAATACTAGTGAGACCTCTGGTCCGATCGTGCTGCGCGAGAATCTATATGATTAGTTGTAGTATGATGATGATGATGATGATGATGATGATGATAATGGTGGTAATGATGATGATGATGATGATGATGAAATGATGATGATGATGATGATAATAATGATGATGATGATGATGATGATGATGCGTATGTTACTTTTTCCCCCGTATGTGAATGTCTGTTGCTGTTGATTCATTAAAATTAATATTTTGCTGGCATAAGTTATTGAGTTGTACCGAAGTCCTCGTCCGGCCTGAACGTTCGAGTAAAAAGAAGTGAAAAGAAAAAGAAACTATACACGATCCAGTCCCAAAATATATTAATACATATACAATTATTCGCATACAAATGTAATCCTGTGCGTGAAAATAATTTTATGCGATCATCGTTAATTCGAATCTTTCGCGGCTCTCCAACGGAATATCGGACGAGAGTCTTTTGCACTGCCATTAATATTGAAACAATGCTGCATGCGTCTTGTCCAGGCGTTCATGTAATAAGATCGTTCGTTTCTTCCTTGATATTTGATGGGCTCGATGATATCGAGAACTCGTTTCGCGTGGGTGTTTGTCGAACAGATTCGTCTTCCTGGCCTCGCATTATTGAAGTCGATGAAAAAGAAAAAAAAAAAAAATATATACATATATAACGATAGCGATTGCTCATTTCTATTCGCATTCGTTATTCCGTAGTATTGGAAAATGGATACACGGTGATCGCGTAAATATCACGAGTAATTGAATTTCGAAAGAAAATGATTGATACGAACCCAACGCCCAAATATTATCAGAGTTACTTTCGTAAGCTACTCCAAGATGATAAAATCGAACGAGTTGTACACGAATAGATAGATAAATTTGTTCGAGAACTTTGGACATTGGACTGGGAATATTTCAAATGCCTGGTCGCGCAAGGATTACACAGTTTGAAATATGTATTTCTTTTCTTATCTACAATATTATATTTTTCCTCGTTACACGAACATTTCGAATCTTGAAATGAACGAGACGTCACGCGAACATAGGAATGTCTCGGGATCCTTTCACGGCACAGATATTTTTCTTATTTTCTCGAACACTTCCTCGCGAATTTCCATAGTTTCGCCTCTGTTTGCGCACGAACGCGATATTTAGTAAGATATTACGCGAAGAATTAAACGGACGGTCGGGCGCTCTAATAATATAATACGAAGTTACGTCACGTGGTCGAAACGTGGCTGTCTAGTGCCATGCATTCCAAATACTTTTGCCAGCGGAAGCACACTGTGACCGTTCTTTCGGATATATTTTATAGCGATTTCATTCTATCTAACTAACACACATTTTCCTTGAATGCCTCGTTTACGCAAAGCTTTACGTACAGACACGATAGCGAACAGAGAAAGAGAGAGAAAGAGAGAGAAAGAGAGAGAGAGAGTGTGTGAGAATGGGGGAGTGAGAGAGGGAGAGAAAGAGAGAGAGAGAAAGAGGATATTATTAAAACGATGATCGCAGCGAGATTCGAATTGAAATCTAGGCTGGGGGATGATATCTTCACCGAAGGAACCGCGTGGAACGGGGTAAACGTGTTTCGACGGAACAAACACATAAACGAAACAATAAAACAAAAAACATTCGAGTAAAAATGAAAAATAAAGAAAGAGAAGAAAGAAGAGGGAAAAAAAAAAAAAAAAAAAAAAGGGAAACAAGATTGGCGTGAGAAGAAGAAACGCGCGAAAGGACAAATAGGGAATTGACGAGAAACGATTGTAATCTAAGAGACTTTTTATTAAATTGATTATCTTTTTTACGATTTTACATATCGAAGGAAACCAATGTGTCTGCTCCACGTCTGGATATAAAAATAAATATATATACGTATATAATTTTTTTACTGTTGCGAACGATATTGCCAAACTTAGCGTATAAGGAAGAGAAACGTTTATCTAGCTTTAAAAAAAAAAAAAAAAAAAA